AGAGTTTCTTATGTTATTTGGTAGTTTATTGAAACTGTCCAGACCTTTGAAAAATAACGAGTTCATACTGCTACGTGAATTTGTCCTTGGGATGTGAAAATTGGTTTTCGATCTAGTATCATGATGATGTACTTCACTATTTGTGATTGAAAGGTTTACTAAGTATGTTGGTTGCAATTTATTTATTATTTTAAATATGAATATATGATAGTATAGTCGTTGAGAGACATTAAGCAACCTTAAACTGCAGAGCATATCTTGTACTGCAAGTCATACTTACAAGACAGGTACCAATAGATTATATGTAATAATTATGTGTCAGACATGATACCAACTGAGGTTGGAGTACTCCAAGGTTCGATTTTAGGACCCAAATTATTCATAATTTATGTTATGCTTGAAGAAGAAGCTATTGTATAGCGAAACACATGTCGCGGTTTTTGTAAAACCCTTATAGTGAAAATCATACAATAAACTGTATTGATTAGTTTTTTTTGTTATGATCTTCTTGAATCTATAAAAAACATGAAACTAAGTTGGTAGCCTATACTGATAATACTAATCTGCTGTTTGTCACTGTATCGTGAATGCCACAAGAGAAGCAGAGTTTGTGCAATATTTATGAATGAGAAGGGACAATCAAACTCGGAACATTCAGAACATACTCTTTTGAACAACATATCAAACTGTATACAAAACACAAAACCACTTGGACTAGTGATTGAACGCAATCACATTATGTGTGAAATTGTCTAGAGTAAGTCATCATCTCCGTGCCCTATCAAGAATGTAGCAGACGCATCATCAAGCAACTCTATTTTGAATGATTTCATTGGGGAAGCTTTCCGAAAGCTTCAAGAGCTAAAATCTTCCTTTCCCATCTATTCCTCCTGTCAATATGTTTCACTCTTTATTGTATATACTGTGTAAGTATCTTTTTTTTGTAAGTCCCTTTTCACTAGCTTCAGAATGGATGATTTCCAGTGATGATGGAAAAAATAAATAGATTTTTTCAATTCTGAAGACGGGAGCAGATACCTGTATAAAGTTCTCCAATGAATTTTTTTCAGGTCGAAAAAGTCAATGAAAAACGAGGCATTGGACTGTAATTGAATGCTACTCCACTTGCATCAATATTATGTAAGTAACCTTCTTAGTCTTTCTACATTAATTGAGAAGCAGAAAGCTATATGTATTCAATAAAAACAAATCCGAGGAAAATGTTTTCTGGATTTAAATATAATTTTGATATTACAAATAAATTTGAAAAAGAAAAGAGAGTAAATTGAAAGAGGCGTATTTTTAGGATAGATTAATTTTTTTTTAAGAAAGGTTTTAGATGGAGAAGTAGAAAGCCAAAACTTTTTTTCACAAAAAGAAAAGAGATATGCTTGAAAAAAGAAAGTGAAAGGTGGGAAAAATACTATAATGAGTAAGATTCTATTACTGAAAATTACTCTAAGAAGATTAACATTTGGAAATGGGGAATGGAGATGAAAAAGAGATAAGGATTTGAAAAAATAAACGGGTAATGAACAAAACATAACCTCATTCCTAAACTAGCAGAAAAGAAAAAAAAAGATTGACAAGTATTTTGAGAAAGAATATAGAATAGAGAAAATTTCTACCAAGTTTATTATTTGTTACAACCGGTTTCCGTTTATTAGACCACTGTAAAGTGAAAATGGTCTGATAAACCGAAACCGGTCGTAACAAATAATTTTCTTTATTCGCAGCAATATTGAAAATCTGTACACATTTTGCTATTGGCACTTGATGTGGGCTATCAGAATATATTTTCAACTGTGGGACGATCTATGTTCATTATGTATTGTTCAATCCATGTCAGGAATCACACATTTAAAGCTTAGAATTTGTTAGTCCCTAGCTCAAACAAGTTTTGAATTCAAAGGATTTTCATTCTTAACATAGTGACATGTTTAGCAAAAAACACATTGTACACATTTCTTTTGTTTGTACACATTTCTTTTGTAAAGAATATTTTGTGGTTTCATTAGGTAGTCTTTCACAAGTTTATTCCCTCAAAAAACTATCCACCTCTGTACATCACCAGCAGAAAAAAAATCAACATCAAAACCAGAAACGAAAACAGAACATGTTTCAACAGTTAGAAAAAGGTGAGAGCCTTCAAGATCAGTAAGATTCAACAAATCATTTCTGAAAATTTGAAAAATTTTCCATTACCGGAAATGAAAAAATAATTACTTACCCTTATTAGAGGATTGAGGTTGATGTCTAGCGCCCTCTCTCTCAGTATCTCTACCATCTCCTTCTCACAAGCGTTGGATAGTTTTGACAATCTGAACTTGTTTTTCAGACATTTAATCACAGAGTCACCGACCTCTTTCTCGTTATGAGACAGCAATTCTTGTTTGCAGAACTTTGATATGTCAAGCTGGCAATTCTGCTGCAATGAAGGATTCAACAAGTTGTTGGAGTTCTGCTCCATGATGCGATGCATGATGATTGTACGGCATTTTGTGCTGAACCCTTTCTCATCCCGGTTCATCTAATGATGAAGAACTTGTCAGCAAAAAAGTTATAAATACGTTTGAAAAAGCCAATGAATACAAGCTAATTATTAAGAAAAAACAGATGAATATTAAATAAATAATAATAATAATATTTATTCATTATTAAGTGGGTATAAGTAACGGTCAATGTATGTAAGTACGTATTTTAGATATTTGTATTGTATTTATATAAAACACTGCCAGGAAACAGGGAGGCTAAGAATTTTTGTCAATTAAAGTCGTAATTGTACCAGAGTGTACATTAGGTAACATTTCAGAAAAAGTTCTTGGTAAAATTTGTGTAAAGTCAGTGCCAAATTCAAGTGAGAAATTGGGCATCTAGAGTCACGTTGTTTAATAATAGGAATGAATAGGGTAAGAATAACATTTGTATGTATCAATATGTCTATCCCAATTCTAATATTCGCCCAAATGAAGACCTAAGAAAATACCTTCTGTTGAAGGTGGGATATTATATACCCAGAACTGTTCATCAAGCATGTTTCTCTAATCGATCTCTAAATCTCTAAATGATCAAAAATTGCTTTCATTTTGAAGACAAGTTGCTCTATATCATTCATGTCAGTCTTAGTTTGAATACTCATATTGAATAAAAGAACAATTTCAAGAGTGAAACTATAGTTTCTCCAACAAATTGAATAAATGAATATACAAAATTTATTCTTGAAAAATCGCATTTATAACAAACAAAGTAACAAATCAACTACGACAAATGTGATAATATGTCCAGTAGTAACCAAGACATTCTCCAACAAATAAGTATCCAGCTGAAGGGGATTGAAAAAAACTTTGTTTTTTTTGAAGGCGAAATAAATAGATTTNCCCCAGTGACTACTGGCTCTTTGCTGATCTTAAAAAAATGCTCCAGGGAAAAAGATTTGGCTCAAATGAGGAGGTCATCGCTGAAACTGAAACTTATTTTGAAGCGAAAGATACATTTTTTTATAAACATGGTATTGAAAAATTGGAAAAGCGTTGGAACCATTGTATCACCCTAAAAGGAGATTATGTTGATGAATAAAAAAAAAATTTTGTAAAAAAAATGTTGTTTTCATTGTTAGTCTCGGGACTTATTGATCCATGTGTTACATATAAAGTCATAAAAAAAAATTTGCCCCACTAAACTCACTTGAGCGTTTCCAGGTTGCACATGCCTACAAAACGTGTTTATGTCCGTCAAGCAGGCCTTCTTCAACACTGGATCATAGTCGATTTTCTCTCTCTGCTGAAAAATCTGTGCCTTCAACTGCTGCCTGCACTCCTTTGGAATGCTGCTCTTCACCCCCTGCAAAGTGGCATTCAGGATGTTCTCGCTGAGACAAGATATTATTTCACTTATCAGTGAAGCTCTAGGGCACAACCGATCGACATAAGCTTTGCAAGCAACTTTGAACTTGTAGCTGAATTTGTAATTTTTCAGTGATATAAGCTGAAAGTGTTCGATACTAGCACGACAGGAAGGCGCCAATTTCACTTGGGGGTGATTTTTATTTTCGATTAGACACATCATGATGTCTGGTTCGTTGCTACATAACATATCGATAAGTTTGTTGCAGTATTTTGAGATGAAAGGATTCAGATCCACCCTGAAATGAAAGTACCATAACTAGTCAGGGGCCACCTATAAATTTGCTCTCGGAGGGTAGAGAAAGTTGGATTGGAATATATTTTAATATAAAACTCAATACAAGAAAAGCCATTTTCAAGTACTAACCGTTCTGCCTCGATTTCTGTAAAAGAGACAATGACATCATGACACTTGTCATCGAGGTCTTCCAAGTTATCCTGCAGGCACTGCATTTCTTCCCCTTTCTTCATTTTTTCACGACAGTGATAGCTTAGATCTTTGACGCACGCTTCTTCTATTTCCGGTTGAAGATCGACGCTTATTGCTCTCTGCCTCATCACTCTCTGGATCTGCTGGAGGCAAGGTTTTTGAATCTTCAAGCCCTCTTCAGACTGATATGCATGCCTGGAAACTTTATAAATTACAACGACCTGTACAAGATTTCCAATCATAATTAGCGTTACAAGTAATTCCAGAGGCTATTGACCTTTGCAGTGGATAACATTGATGAAAGAAAAAAACAATGCCTGTTCCATTTTCACTGAAAGATAACCAAGCAGTGCTTTGTGACTTACCTAAAGTACTCAACTGTTTGAATAACATAATTTTGAGAACTATCTCTTAAGAGGTGGTACGATTCAAGCCTCAGTATGAATTCAGTACTTTTTGTTGTACATGTACAATATGGCAGAAAATTCCTCACTGTTTACGAATGAAAACTCAATTTCATGTTGTAACAAAACATAGAAACATTTGAAGGATGTCATAATTTTTTAATTTTTTATTTATTTAATGGAAAGTACTTTCAGGAGTAATTAGTTTATGGGAAAAAATTACTACTTTGTTTTAACAGTTTAATAAATATCACTTCATCTATTGATGATGCTAACTTGGTTAGCAGAATATGCGTCAAGAGACATTATTTTCTCTATTTTTGTTCTGGTGCAGAAAACGTGTTTTCAATACAATAATAAATAGGCTTTATTGTCATGAGTATACACTTGTTGACAGAGCCAAAGGCTATATGTAGTTAAAAGACACACATTTAATAAATATGTTACTAATATAGATGACAAATTTAATCACAATCCATGTCATACAGTTGTAATAATTATAGATAGAAATAGTTTAGTTATTCCTGTAAACTTTAGTACTATTATAAAACTGTGTCCACTGTCTTTCTCAAGTGCCAGTTATTCAGATCAGAGATATATTGAGTAAAAACTGGTTGAGAACAGATTTACAAATATATCTCTAGGAATGATATTACATAGACATCTTATACCACTTTTTTGCAGTACAGACTTTACAGGATGGATATACTACAGGCTATCTATAAGTGTATATATAACGTATCGAAGCTGAAAATCAGTTAATGCATAACTAAGCAATGTTGAAAAGCCCATGAGACTGCTGTGGTTTTTTTAGAGACTTGGAAGATATTGAAAAGTCAGACTCCATGCGTGTGAGTTTCATAACATTCATGAAATTTCAACTTATTTTCAATGAAAAAATAAGACGTTTTTCAAGGGATAATAAAGTTCATCAAGCAACTACATATTTATACAACATAACGTTGAATTTTTGTTTTTCAAAGGTTGTGCTATTGTTAGCACTATCAGATATATCATTTTTAGTCAAGTCATATAACAACTTTGGCATACCATTATGAAGTTTGATTGTTTTTATAATTTGATTATGCCCTACGAATTGATTCCTTTGAACTCATGACAGCAGAGTTTTTTTAAGCAATATCTGATGGTAAAAACCATCACACCTATCCCATCAACAGCACAAATTAAAAACTCGATTCTTTATAACAGCAAAAAATATTTCAATCAGTTCCCCCTTTCAATCAGAAAGTAATCTGATATACATAGTTTCGAAAAAGAGTAAAAAAACTTCTGATAGACAAAGCTTACTATGAAACTGACGAATTTTTTTCAGACAACTTCAAAACTTAGAACATTTTTTTACCGTAGANAAGATAACGAAGGAACTCCTGGGCGTCCTGATGCGCATGACCCATGAATCGAGGGGCAAAACTCTGAATCTGACTTGTACATTTTTGTAATCTTGACAAGAAATAAACCTGAATGCCTGAAAACAGTCAAATTACCAACCTGTACAAACAAGGCAGGATCTCTCGCGAATAACTAGGCCCCTGCTCCGCCTCTCTGCTTTCTACAAGGTGACAGTGCCTGATTGCGTCTTGTTTACATGCCCTGTAGAGCTGTGGATCCAGTTTGAAATCTCTGGCAATAAAATACTGGATCTCTAGTAAGGCGTTCTCACAGTCTTCCGTCATTGTATCAGATCGCATGTTGTCCATGAGGCAAGACATGACTCGTTCATCACCTACCCCTGCATTGCTACATACTACCTTCACCACCGGGTCACAGGCTTGGCGCAAGACTGGATCCACGGCCCAGTTTTCTCCGGGGTTGGTCTGCTTCACAAGGTCATCAAGCTAAGAAAAAATTTGAATTCAAGATTATTTTCCAATTTCAATAATAATATTCGAATCAACATACAAAATTCAAATGGTGGCAATTTTGGTAGAATTTTGTGATTTATTTGTGAATGACAATCCCAGGCTATGTTTATGAACCTTCTCAGATTATGACGAGTTTACTCTTAATCATTCACAACTATACTCTAGTATTATGAAGCTCATACTCTGCGTCTTTCAGGAACATGCTCGAATTAAACTCTGCTTTCTCTGATTTCAAATAGAGTAGTAATACTCTGACAGTTATGATACACTATAAAATAAATTCAACACTAATATTTTGTGATCACTGCATCAAGATATTTTGTAACACATTTTATATTGTATGAAAATGGTGATTACGTAGCTACTCTTTCCCTGAATCAGAAGAAGGCCTTCAAAACAATCGATCGTTAGATACTGATTGAGAAGATTGAAGTGATTGGTATACAAACTAGTGTCTTAAAAAGTAATTTACTGGTCGAAAACTGATTACAAGGATTCATGTTTTATCTTCCGCTATTGTTAACGAGTTTAGAGTGGCAAGGGGGACCTCTTTTGTTTCTGATTTATATCAATGATGAAAAGTATTCACGTGAAATATATTTTCTCAACCTTTTTGTAGTCAGTCTCGAGCAATCACCTTCAAAACTGAACTGAATGATTGAATCACTATCAACAATAGTTCCTTATTTGAATTCTAATAACATAAATCTCAATATAGCTAAAGCTGAGACAATGATAATAAGTACATCCTAAAAACATAAAAGTATCAATATAAATCAATTTATCTCTTAGTATATGGTAATAGAATTGAATGCGTTAACCAACTGAAGTACTTGAGATTCGTGGTGTACAAATATTATCATTGAATGAACATTTTTTATATATGAGTATAAATATATCCAAAAAACTTTTTTTCTAGAGTGTTTATATACTTATCGGAGTATCCTAAAATAACTACAGTAGAATTCATATATAACGACTTCGCTTTTAACGACTAACTATTTTTAGCGACGATAATGTTTACTCAACCTGAGTTTCATACTTAGGTATTGAGAAAATATAACCGTTTAGTGTGACTTCGGTTTAAACGACCAATTGCTTTTTCGGTTTAAGCGACCAACTGCTTTTAGCGACCATTTTTGATGATAATACGTTCGGTCAATATGTCACGCAATGTTTTGTTTTCACAACCTACGAACCAATACCAATACAATTGCAGAAAAAAGTGCAATATTACACCGATTAGAAGCCAGTGAATCAAACGCAGTTCTCGCAAAGGCGTTTGGCGTATCTCAATCTACAATATCCACAATTGAGAAGAATAATGATAGAGCCGCTGTTTTATGCCAGTGTATTGAAATGAAAACATGTAAGGATATTCACTCATGGGCAGTTGGATAAGGCATTGTTACAGTGGTTCAAGCTTCAGCGCACCGAAAATACCCGTTAATGGACCTCTGCTATGAGAGAAAGCAAACTTTTTTGTTAGACAGTTAGACATGCAAACCGTTTTAAAGTAAGACACAACATCGTCAGTGGTAAGATTGCTGGCGAGTCTTTGTCAGTTCAACAGAGTGATGTAATGGATTGGTTAGAAAAAGTTTGGCCAACTCTACGTGCGCAATTTAGAGATGATGAAATTTTTAATGCAGATGGGACCGGGCTGTGAAAGGAGAAAAATTATCAAAGGATAGGATAACTGTGATGGTGGCAGCCAACATGAGTGGCACAGTTAAAAAAAACTTCTGGTAATCGGAAAATCCCAAAGTCTTTAATGTATTAAAAATGTTCGGCATTTGCCAGTGGATTATGAGAGCAATCGAAGAACCTGGATGACGGCTGACATTTATACCAAATGAGTACGCGCATGGGAGCGTGAACTTAGAAAAAAGAACAAGAATATCCTGCTGTTAGTTGACAACTGTCCAGCACATTCACATATTGCAGACTTGTAAATAATTGGTTTGACTCGAATCTTTTATCATTGAATACCAGCAAAACAAATATATTAGCATTCAAGTGTAATATACCTGATATCCCCCTAGACAATAACATAATAAAAAATAACACCACTTTGAAATTTTTGGGAAGTCATTTAGATGAAAATTTAAAATTCTCCCAGCATATTGCACACATCAACAAAAAATTGGCATCAGGATGTTTTACACTGAGAAACATCTCAAAGAAACTGGGGTTTGCTGCAGCGAAAGTAGTGCACTATGCCTTAATAAGGGTATACCATACCTAAGGTATGGTATACCCTTTTGTTTGCAGTAAACAACTCACACAGTCGAGTTTTGTCTTGCACAAAAGGGCTATTAGATACTTATGTAAAGCGAAACGGCGTGATTTATGTAAACCCTTTTTTTGAGAACATAGAATCCTTATGGTTATTTTAATATGTATATTGGAAACCGTATCAATTAAACATAAAAATAGAGAGAACTATGAATCTATAGCTACAACCACATACCACACAATGTGGTCAAATGAACTGAATATACCAATTTCAAAAGCAGGTTTGGTTCAAAACTCCTTGATATATAATGGAATCAGAATATACAATAAACTTCCCAATGAAATCAAAGAGACTCCTTTTATCATATTGAGAAAGAAATGTACAAAACTATCAAGTGATAAAGCCTATTATGTATGACCTACAAGAATATTTTGCCGATGCCCTGTGATTTAGAATGTGTGGAAATTGCGATTGTACTGTGTGGGAAAAACATATTTTTATTCATTGTCCTAGTTCTTGTCATGTAACCTTTGCATATGTATGTATATATAGTTTATATTTTATTTTAATCATTTACATTTTATACATTTATACTTCATGTTTATATTAATATTTATTTATGACATTGTGTTTGTAACAAGAATTCTATTCTTAAACAATAAACATATTATCAATCAATCATAACCCTGGTGTTTTTGTCTCCAAACACGACATCAGTGTTGCAACCTATAGATCAAGGAATTATTCGAGCTTTAAAAGCACCTTTTTGTAAAAACCTTGTCCTGAAAATGATCTAGTTTCTAGAAGGCTGCGGAAGCAATAGTGTTGAGTACCCAAAGATCACTGTTCTTGATGCTATTCTAATGATTAAAGATGCCTGGAACCAACTCAAGCAAGGGACAATTTTCAACTGTTACAAACACGTTGGTTGTGTGCGAAGCAATGTAGAACGTGGCATAACTTCAAACGCAAATGATTTTAACGAAGAAGACGACGTTCCGCTGAGCATTTTGGCGAGGGCTATTGAGAGGCATCAATTACCCATAACAATCGAGGACTTTGAACAAGACGCATGTGTCGATGATATCAATCTGACTAGCTAAATAATAGACTAATGTACTTTTTACTACTAATGAAAAAATCGTGTAGGTGTATGAGAAATAAAATTAATTTTGAAAAAAAAAATTAAACCACTCCGCCCATGCCATACAAAGAAACCGCCGATATGCGCTAAGTATTTAGTTTTTATGCCATTCAAATTGACTAGGTATATACTATACTTGAGAAACAATCTTGCCGTTTTGTGCATCGTCTTGTTAGTATAACATAGGCCCAGATTTTTGTTTCGCGGGGGTCTCAATAAAAAAGACCTGTTAATTCAAATTTAATTAATTACTCGATGGCTGCCTTCTTTCTAGAGAAAACCATGCACTGACATTTTCTTTATTATTATCGATTCATATGTAGTTTTCTGTAATCATCAGAATTAACTATTTCCTTGTAAAGTTTAAGATCATCTACAAATTATACTTTATTATATTTTACAACTCATTAACGTACAAATTAAATAATAATGGACCAAACTATGATCCTATTTCCCTAATGGGAAATAATGTGAAATTTCTCAAGCATACAATTTGTGTTGTATCAAGCAGATAACTTTCCACCAAACGTGTCAGATTATCTGGAAACACAAAATTATCTAATTTACCTTTTAACAGGTGGTGTTTCACTCAAAGGTCTTTGTAAAATCCAAATAAATTACATCAACTTGACAGACATCAAGTGATACAAAGGCTGATATTAAGTCATGCTTATAAATCTGACAAAGGTTTTGCAGGGCCGTGTCGGACTATCGAACTTACCAGATTATAGAGTACTGTCAAATACCCTCTGTAAGAGTACTTTGTAATCTGATAAATTACGCCTCATTTACCCTAGGCCCACTGTATTATCAATACTAACAAGTAAAAAATCTTAATGTACATATTTGGAATAAAGTTATTCTTATTATTACAGGATAGTGTCTTTGTTGTTTTCTGACATATATAGCTACCCCTCCATGTATAGATTTATCCCTACAAAAAGAGTTTGCAATCTGGAAACCCTCTATTTTTAGAGATGATATACTATTGTCTCTGGCCCAGTGTTCTGATACACAAAATATGTCGCAATTATTGTCTTCTAAGAAAATTTCAAAATCTAACAATTTGTTACTGAACCCTTGTACATTTTGATGAATCAAAGTAAAAACCTTTGAAGTAGATAAATTGACAACGTTTCTGTTTTTATGATATGGGAAAAATTTCATCAAAGAGGTATACATACATATGCAATACAGATTTTCAATAACATACCGCTCTCAAACAACTATCTCCAAGATTGAACTGCCTCGAAATACTTCCTCTATTCAAAGCGTGATTCATCAGACAGTGAATAGTTCTTCCACCCACCTCGAACCCATGACAAAAAGTAGCCGTTTCATTTTTACAGCTATTCACAATCTCAGGAGACAACCTGTAATCATCCATCAACATCCGACGATGCTCCATTATCTCCGATTCACACTCAGAGGAGACTTTCGTCCCATTCCTCATACGATCCTCTAAACACAAAAGGATCTGAGCCAGACGGACTGTCTTCTCACTAGACGTTTTCTGGCGACAGTGGCTGTTTTTGATGTCCTCTCTGCAAGCCCGGATAAGCCCTTTGCTGATCCTAAAGTCTTGAGCTATTAGTTTTTCCCTGCGTCGTAAGTGTTGACGGCATTTCGTGCTTATCCTCGACTGGTCCATATGCAGCTGTCGCATGAGGCAGGGAAACACTCTTCCGCTGCCAGTCACAAGTTGGTGACAGTACCTGTAGTAGATACTAATATTTTATTGTTTGTTTCGAAGTTGATGTTTATTTATCAGTTGTTGAAATTAAAAAAAAAATATCTATTTCACAACTAAGTATAATAAATAATGGCGAAAGTAATGCGCATCCCTTTGATGAAGAATTTGACATTGACGAAAAAAACAAAAAAATTCAAAGTATAACTGAAAGGAACTGCATAGAAAATGTTGCCGAAAACATTTCTTTTGACAAGTAATACTTTATTGTGAGATTATTGTTTACAAGGGATTTTCAAGTATTGGCCAATTCCATCACATATTTCTATTGACCAAAAGGATCAGTGAGTACTAGGTATTTACTTATTTATTTATACGGGATAAACCCCATTACAGTGTAAAATTTCACAGAAAAAAAGAATAATATAAAAATGAAAAATATAAACTAATACGCTGTGGAATGTTTCTGCAGCACACAACTATATAACATTATAAAATACTTTAGGATATAAAATTAAAATTAAACTTGTTACTACCTTATGTAAACAATTACCAACTTAAATTATTCAATGATTGTTTAAAACGACCATAAGAGACACCAAAAATACTGATGTTTTTGTCATCTACTAACTTTAGGGTTCTTTCCAAGGGTGTATGTTTGCCATAATTTGTATGATGGAAGGGTATATGAAATAAATGGCTGTGTCTAAGATTTCTGTTTGGAACATGAATGTTGACAGATTCAAGTAATTCAGGACAAGTTATTAGTCCATTGAGCAGCTTGAATGCATAGCATAGATCTGCATGAATTCTTCTGGTTTGCAATAGTTTAAGTCCCATTGCTTGTAATATACTCGAATAGTCATGGTACTGTATTAGAAGACCCAACTTGAAAGAACAAAATCTCAGAAATTTATTTTGCACTCTTTCTAGAGACACACAGTGCACATTGTAAAATGGAGACCATATGATACATGCATATTCTAACGTAGACACCACTAGAGCTAAATAAATCCTTTTTAATGCTTCAATGGAAAATCCTGAACAATGACTTGGATGATTTCACACTCACTTGGTTTATATGGTTTACAAATTTAAGTTGTTCGTCAAAAATTACCCCAAAATCTTTTATAGAAGAATTGTATTCTAAGTGCTGATCATTTATGTTGTATGATGTATCGAATTTCCTACCAACTCTTGAGAAAGTAATAAAATAGCATTTATTTACATTAAGAAATAAGTTATTTATAACACACCATTCATAAACTTTATCTAGATCATCTTGAAGGAGAATTTGGTCATTGTATGATTTTATCCGTCTGAAAAGCTTCAGGTCATCCGCAAATATTAAAAATTCACTGTTCTCTAAAGAGCATCCTATGTCATTCACAAAAATATTGAATAACAGGGCTGAACAATGTGATCATTGTGGCACTCCAGATATTACTAATGTATCACTCGATTTGCATCCTCCAATTTTAACCTGTTGTGAACGACCAGCCAAAAAACTACCAAACCAATTCACCAAATATTCTGTAAAACTAAAATTTCCGATCTTCTTCAATAGAATATTTTAATTTATTCTGTCAAAAGCCTTGGAAAAGTCAGTATGGCATCCATCTGACTACCCACCAAGACATTCAATATGCTATGTTGGTTATTGATCAATCTTTCCCTACATGAAAAGTTAAGTTGATCTGAAATTATACTGTCGTGTAATTTTGGAATAGATGACTGGCTGCATACTCTTCGATAATTTTGTATATTTTCCTTGTCACCCGATTTGAAAATTGGAATAATAAAGCTGTGTTTCCAATAATTTGGATAAACTGCCTGATCTAAGGAGTTCTTGAAAAGAAGGTACAGAGGATGAGTAATGGAGTATATACAATTTTTTAGGAAAATATTTGGAATTCCGTCTGGACCTGAACTGAGTTTGGGGAAAATTTTTGAAATTTTCTGGAAAATCATCATAGCTGATATACTGGGATTAGAAATATATGAGTTAATATTCAAACAAGGATGATCGTCAAACTAACCATGAGAATTGTCGAACACTGTTGAGAAATATTCAGTAAAACATTCTGCAATTTGTTCCTTATTTGTTGCAATAGAATTTTCATAATACATTGTAGATGGCAAACTACCATGAGATTTCTTGTCATTAATAAACTGCCAAAAATATTTTGGATTTGAATTGAGCTTGGCATCAACGCCTTGTATGTAATTTTCATAACAAATTTTTGAATGAATTTTGCAAGCACTTCTCAAGTCAGAGAAGACTTGATAATCTTGATCACTCCTGCTTAGCAAATAATTTTTGTGGGCTAACTATTTCTGCTTCACCAGGTATCTTAGATCTGCATTAAACCATTTGGGAAAAGTGGACGTTATGAATCTTTTGTATGTCAACTGTATATTTGAATGTTGAAACCGATTTTCACATCCATCTGCTATCTACTAAGTGAAAGAAACCTGTGCTAATTTGGAAAAAATATATGAGGACAAAGAACTATTCGCTTTTCCAAATAAAATAGAAGTCTAGACGAGTATATTACTGAAATTTTATGCTTAGCACAAAAATTATCGTTTTGTTATGAGGAGTAATCTGTAAACTTCATAAAGCTGTTTATGGTTGAAAACAAGCTTCAAGATGATTAAATAAAAAAAAACTAGATGAGATATTTGTAGAAACTGAATGACAATAGTGAGCTAAAAAAAGTTTGATAAAAAGTATTGATTTCAACGATTTGTTGCTTAAAATTGACAGGTGATTTTGAAATTTGAAACAATTAGCAAAAATATATTTCAAATACTTGAAAAATTTGGAATGGCAGATGGCAAAACTGCCAAAGCTCCTTTAAATGTCAATCAAAAAGTACCAAATTCTATGATTATTGAAGTGATAGATTCACCCTATCAGTGTCTTATTGGATCACTGATACATTTAACTGTCTTAACAATAAGAAAACATGAACAAATTCAAATCCCAGACGAGAAACATTTCATGTGGCCATACATCAGGGGTGTATTCTTGAGCTTAACATTTTTGTTATTTATATAAATTTGATATCAAATTTAAATTAGAATGCTGAATTAAAATTATTTGTAGATGATACAACTATGGTGTGTTTTGATAAAAATATAAATATTGGCTAAAGTTTTATAATCAGAGTTTAAACTTAGAACACTTTTTGCAGTATGTAAAAAAATGAATGCCTGATGTCAAAGAAATTTTGTGTAATTTGAGATCTCAAAATTACACATTCTTATAACCAAGATGTACATAATTTACCATTCAAAACTACTTTAATTGAGTTCTTTAATAATGTTTAATCTTCCTCTTGAAGATGATCACTTGGTGATCGAAACACGTGTCGAGGTGTTAAAAATAACGGTTTGGTGTTAGGATAAAACTCCAGTAATATTCATCTCAATTGCATGTTTGAATTTTCACAAATATTCTCATTATGTTAGGTATGAAATCAATATCATCAGATTAATGGAGAGTGTAGAAGGATACTGTATTGATCTGGAACTATAATCTCTGGTTCTGAAATATTATTTATCAGTTTGAAAAAGACTCAAATTGTGAACAAAAATGTTTCTTTGTGAGTACATCTTCAGAAATAAATGAAATACAAAATTACCGTTGCTGATCATCACTACAATCCACATACAGCTGAGCATCTAGTTTTATGTTCAATGACTGTAGTTGCGACAGGTGAGATATTTCCCTTTTGCAGCTGTCCTTAACCTTAAAAATATTGTTCTGCAAACAAGTCAGCGTTCTGGCTTGAGAAAAGCTATGAGGATCAATAAAACCACATTTCAGGGACGTTATATCTTCCTGACACTCCTTTATGAACTCTGGACTCCAAAGATGGTCAGTGAAAGCAGCATTCTGCAACCTGCTCAAAGCGTGTTTGCAATCAAGATTTTGTATAAATTCGATGTTGTTCACTACACATTTCAAATAGTCATCTCTGTAGTCTTCTGAACAGGGCAGCTTCGTTAGATCAGATCTACAAGAGGGAGTCAGATATCTTTTAACGTTTTCGAATTGTATGAGATTTTTCGTGTGCTCCCATATTACATTCTGACAGTCTTGTTTGATACTAATTAAATGTTCAGGGCTTGTGGATAAGAGGCATTCGAGTACGAGGAGATCGTCTTTTTCGCTCAAACTATGGCAGAGTTTTCGAACTTCTTCGCATTCTTCGGCATCTACTATGGTTTTAGCTGTTGCTTGGGGTCTATTAACGTCCGCCGTGTATGAAAATATTATGCCGCTCAGGAAGAAAAAGAAAAATGGTACCATATTCAAATATTCACATTGATAATGCTTTCAAACTGATCGTCTTTAGAAAATTTTGTTTGAAAACGGTATATTTTTATCACAGATATGTAAACAAAAAGATATCACATCAGGTTTGAAGTCATTCATTCTTGAATCAGTAGTGTAAACAATGAGGCAGCAACGAAGATAGAAATATATGTTAACTAGTGGAGGTGAGAGAGATAGAAATATTTTCTTCTAATCCCGTTTTAATCTTTATACATAAACGAACGCACCAATATCACAGTATTTTGTATACAGAAATACTGTGCCAATACCATATAATACCCATAGACATGATAATATGAATTGGGTGTGACGTCACTTTTCCATATACTCCACCTGCGAATCACATAACGTCTTGGCTACTGCCTCACAGCATTATGTGACAAACCAAATTCATAAATCTTCACATAGATATATGCAACACGTAAAACATCTTGACGTTGATTGTATAAGTGACGTAAATGCCAAGACGTGAATCTCATCTTTTTTTAGTTGTCGGAGTTGATGTTTTCTTTTCAATGGCCGGTCCTTATTTACATACTTTACAAAAGAGACACTTCATCTAGTGGCACTTTTACGATGAGGAGTCAAGTTTCTGTGACCTATATTCCTTAATGGAGATGTTTAATACATTTTTTAGCGGTGAATTCAAATTATTAATTTATCGAATATATGAGTTGACTGAACTTAGATCCATTTCACCATGTTCACTGGACGAAATTTTCAGTTTGACAATAATCACCTCAAGATTGTTTTTAGAATGGTACTCGTATGGCCTGATCATGGCTGATTTACTTAGTGGAAATATTAATTTACAAAAATAACATAAAATTAACTGCAAAAGAAATCAAGTAAAAATTTGCTTGAATGTTAAATTTTATGATTCGCCGATCTCTCGGTTCATCAACTAAACTTAATGACTTATTGAGGACACTTTTTGTAAAGAGCCAGTATTGCTACCATGGAATTTCAGATAGTACAGTAACTAACCTTGAAAATTGTACATATGGGTTAGTTACTAACGTGGTTTAACACAAAATTAATAAACATATTTTTATGAGTGCTATTGGCTAAAGCGTATATGCCATACTTAGTAATTTATGTTAGTAGCTTTCTTGCCTGTTAAAATTATCTTTTTTCTATATATATTTAATCTCACTATGAAAACAGATACAGACGGACCGAAAAAGGACGGATAGCTGCACAGAATAGTGGTTACTCTGTGATATCTGTGCTCATCTTCTTCTTCACTTTTTAATCATCATTGGTCTTGGCTACCAGTGAAACGATATGTATTTCTTAATGTAATGAGGGTAAATACGAAATTATTATCGTGAGAGGGCGCCAAGAAGCGTGTGTTCAATTCTCGTCGCTTTCGTTATTTACATAAATGGATAAAATGAATTGAGATTCGAAATATGCGACGGGTTGTTGAGAAATATCTTGAAGAAGGAAGGTTTAAGACCAGCTATATTAGGACGGTATATGCAATACTGCTTAATACCTTCCACATTAAATTTTATTTTTTTACATCATAATGGAATCACCATCATAGAGCCAGGTGAAAATATAATGATGATTATTAATGAAACCTCTGTAAATTTTGGAGCTGAATTAATCTAAATTAAACAGGCAAAATTCATCCGTGAAATAAATAAATAAATAAATTATTCATCTTTTTATGATCGCAATTGTGGCAATAGTGATATATAACTAATCCACAAGTATACAATCACAGCATAGGTAACAATCAGCATGGTCACTTGGCCATGCCAGCTTTGATGTGGAAAAGTATCTAGACGCCATTTTGGGAGGTGCCGATAAGAGGGCAGGACTCGCGAAATGGTTTTGGATAGGTTTGCACTCAAACTTTTTTATATTCAAAATGCTCATATAATTTTGATATACCTTACCGAATGGACACACATTCAATTGATATAATAATTCTTGTACATACATTCTATCTGGTTACATGATTTTTTCAAAAAATGTCAAAACAGTCGAATTATATTTCTAAAATTACCAGTAGGAATACAATGGTTCAATCGACTGGAATATGAAGGAGAAATTGTCCAGCAATCAATTTTTTGGTATAAACTTTATGATCTATCATCTCTTAAAATAAATGTATTTATATATTTTAATGTATAAAATAATCTTACTCTACCATATAATTTCAAAAGATGAGATATTGGGAAATTTTCACATGGATGGTTATAATAAAATTGTTTAAACAATGATGTAAATCCTGCAATTACATTTGTTTCTACAATAAGATTCTCAAAACTGTTTTGGAAGTTTACTTTCATCAGTCAATGATAATAATAATGGAGGTTGTAAACGTTCACGGCCGGAATTAACTGTATGATGTATGATGATGATATAATATGGTGAATCATATATAACTTGTCATTATCGGATTGAATATCACCTTTCACTTTCATATAAATGATTGCACTATACTGGGATAATTTTGTACAAAATGTATTTGAAGATAATGAAGACAACATTATTAATATTATTATCGAATTGATTCGAGTAAAACAGCATACAGGGCAGGTCAAAAAATATTGAATTCGTTCAAGAATAAAGTACTTTCATTTTGATATGTTATTTAGAAAAGTTGTTCAGAATTGAAAGTTGTTAACCCCCTATATAAGTTTTCATTATTATTTTTTTAATTTGAGTTTCTTCCGTATGATATATTTTTTGAGTATTCTGAATTATTAGGAAGGTACGCAAAGTATAGTTAAAATTGAATAACTTCTTCACAATTTCTCTCAAATTGAAGCGCATTAGTAGAGTTCACTCGGATGTATATTTTTCATGTAACTGTTGACGTCATCTTTGTTGCAATAATATTGAATATCATTCAAAAATTTTACAAATATGTTTTAACAAAGGCATATAGGTACGTTACTTACGATGATGTACATATGCAAAAAGTCTGAATCCAATAATGACATGTTTCTTTGAAATTCTTAAGAATATGCATCAAATAAAAAAGTGAATAAACGTATCAAAACTCTCACAAACTGGACAAGTGATCGAAGAAATCATCAAAGTACTTCAGTATTACCACCTTCTCTTTCGATACATCCAGTTTTTCGCTTATATTGCTTTGATTGTGGGGTGCATCTAATATGGTTTTTTGCGAACTTAATGGACCATACTGTCTTCGATAAACGATATGTTAACTTCCTAATTAAATTAGCCAACTAAATTCAAACTAATTAACTCGTACAAACCAGCAACACAACTGCAGAGGTATTTATCAATGGCTTAAAAGCTTCCTTTAACAAAGAGTCTTAAAAGCTGAATTCATTGTTGATGTCTGCAGGTAATTCATTATAAAACCGAATGCTCGTATGACATAACCTTCTTTGAAACTTGAAATAGAAATGATTTTTGACATTCCGATAGAAACACCATTACAAGTTCATATGAAAATATGTTGAATGCCTTAATAGAATGTATTATGTAGCCAAATCAAATATGTGAATGAAGTTAAATTGGTTATGTTTTCATTTCAAATGAAAGATTTACGTATTATTCAGATTCTACTGTAAATTTTGGTATTTAATATATGTACCTTGGAAATTAGGAGTCGGTTTTGCAATATTGTACAAGTTTTTTTAAAACCGTAGATTTAACTTTATTTAGCATGTCCTCTGCTTCTTGAAACCATGATTACTGAGTATTTATCACATACAATTTCGTAGTCTGTTGTTGTTGAGTAGCAGGCAATATCAGAAGTCCGGTCCTGACCATTGTAAAAACCCCATGATATTTTAGGAATATGCAAATCATTGTTCGTTATTTAGGCAGTTTATTGAATGTAGTCGTAAATAGAGCAAATGGATTTTATTCATGATATCAAACAGAATTCAGTAATCCTTCATCAAACAATTCATTTCAGAAAAACAATATGAATCTTTCAAAATATTTTTCATTCCACATGGCATACGCTGTCTGTTCAAAAAAATTAGGGGAATTTCAATTTTGTTTCCTTACAAGTAGCCACCCAGATATAACAAACTTGTGCCAAACCTTTTTTTCAATCCTCGAAGTAGCTCTGATATTCACTTTTTGGTATGTCCTTGAGCTCTCTTAGCGATTCGGCCTTCCTTTCATGTGTCTCTTCAATCTTGGAAACAGAAAAAAGTCGCAGGGGTTCAAATCTGGTGAATTCGGTGGCTGAGACATGATTACGGTGTCGTTTTTGGCAAAAAATTTCGGAACGAACTTCGCTGCCATACGTTTCATACCCAAAATTTTTGAAAAAATTGCATGGCATATGAGCCAACCGATATGCTTGGTGGACAGAAATGAGCGAATTTGTACTTGAATTAAATTTTTCTTTGTGTCGGTATGTCAATCTCCTTTCTTTGGGAAATCACTTATCACCTTTGAAAATAATTCTAAGACTGTTTTTTTATATTTGATCAATGATTGTTGAACATGCTCCCTGCTATTTATCTGTGATGTTCAATTTTGAGAATATACCAGTTTTGAGAAATGTTACATATGGCTTTTCTCAAACAAATTCTTTAATTTTTCCAAAAAAGATGCACTAATATTATAATCAATTATTTTCCACGGATGAAACGTTATTAAATTTCAGGTATTTTAAATTTAGAACTCGAACTGCACAAAAAAACTTGTGACACTTATCTTTCAGAAGAATAAATACGAAAAAATTTCAAATCCCCTTGCCAGTTCATTTGTTTACTTCATCTCCTGAAGACTCCAACTTGGTTGATGAAACTCACGCCGAGAAAAGTTTTGTTTTGGATGCAGTTTACTTGTGTTTGTGAACATGTGACGTCCCAGTGATTACGTGATAAGCATTGGCGGTTTGGAACATTTAAAAAAATATTTTTCGTTATATTAGGTACGGTTGTAGGTATAGTCTCAAATACTTTTTCAGAAATAGTCAGCATCCCTACTAATTCTGTATATTTTCTCCTTCATGTTTTTTGATTTATAAAATTCACAGTAGAACTAAAAACCAATATTTCGATACATTTTTAAGACCTCACAATTACAAATATCAACAACAAACATCATTTCGCAATTAACCACTAACCAACCCATTCAGGCACATTCTAATCACCCTTATCAACATATATTAGCAGCTTACCATAGTATGATTCATGGACTGATGATCAGTAGCCTGATGTTCAAAAAGAGAATTTTGATAAGGAGCAGTTTAATTTGATAAAACAAATTACGGTACTTT